TTTATTTTCTTTTTTCTCGGAAAGACGTTATTTAAAATTATGAATAGAAGAACGAAAAAAATCGTTTTCACTTAGACAAAATCGTTATATAATAAGGTGGAAAAAAAAGGAATATTTTTCGATTTGTTTAAATCGTTCAAAATTTTACATAATTTTTGTTAATGCATTTTAATAATGAGGATAGATAGATAGATAGATAGATAGATAGATAGATAGATAGATAGATAGATAGATAGATAGATAATGAACGGACTGAGAAAGATATGAATCAACTGAAATAGATAGATAGATAGATAGATAGATAGATAGATAGATAGATAGATAGATAGATAGATATGAATAAACAAAGTGACAAGGCACGGACGAAGAGAGGTAGATATGAAAAAAAAAAACTAGAAATAAAGAAACAGATATTAAAATACCGATATAGGGAAGAAAAAGAAATTATATACTGAAAAAAAAAAACTGACATACATACATAGATAAATATGAGGAAAGAAAGAGAAGTTAGCGAAAAAAAAAAGAAAAGGTAAATATTAACAAAATTATATATATATATATATATATATATATATATATATATATATATATATATATATATATATAGAGAGAGAGAGAGAGTAAAGATGATAACGAAAAGTGCACAATTCAACGTTCGTAACATTCAATTTAAAAAGGGCTCAATAAAAGTAGAGTATTATTATTATTTATTTTAAGATATTATTAGGTTGGTGCAAAAATAATGACGTAATAATGTCGTTTTTTGACGTTTTTTTTAACGTCAAAAAAAACGACATTATTACGTCATTATTGCACCATCTCAATACAAAAACATGTCAAAATGTATGAATGTAAGATTGCAACTGTTCCGAGATTTTGACAAGTTTTTGTGGTAATATCCTAATATATATATATATATATATATATATATATATATATATATATATATATATATACCCAAGTATATAATTAGTATATACGGAATGAATTCCAATAACCAACAAGAGTGCTCAATACAAAATCACTTGATAAGACACAGATTGTGTTGAAACAAAATGGCTATTTTTGTAGTGATTTTATGACATACTTATGTTATAATTTTTTTTATAAAAAATAATTATATATATATATTTATGTGTGTGTGTGTATGTGTGTGTGCGTGTGAATAGTGTAATATTCAATTTTCAAACATCTCTGTATTCTATTCCTAAAAGAATTACTCCCATCTCAAGCCAGCAGACATGACTATAAAATATTCAAAATTAAAAGAAAACGGTTAAATTCACGACTTCCTTTTATTTAAACCTAGACTTGAATAGGTTAAGACTATAGGAGCCGGGACAAACCTCGTATCAGGAATAAATTTAACAATGCAACACAGTTTTTGAAAGCGGATCTGTGATTGGAATGATCTCCATACCAATTTAATATAAAATTGGTGTTCATTCCATGATTATGTGGGCTGACATAAACTAGATACTAATTAAACTATTATGTGGACTAGAATAATCCAGGTACTAACAAAACTACGATTATGTGGACTAAGATAAACTTGAAACTAACTAAACATGATCTAAATAATAACTGAATACATATTATATATACGTTTAAACACACACGCGGTCAAACACACACACATATATGCCCCAATATTAGATTTTTTTGCATGTTGAAGGATCTTAGTGGAGAGGTGGAACCCTGTAACTTGGGCATTCCACAATGTCCATATATCATCGCCCAGCATACAACCTGGAGAGGTCACCAAATTTTGATGACTGAATTTTGACGAATCATAGCGCTACACTTATCTTCCGAGATATATGGATACCTGATATATATATATATATATATATATATATATATATATATATATATATATTCATCCACATGCAAGCCTGTTTCGGTGTATCACAGCTCATCAGTGTGTCTAGACATCCGATTGCTTGAAACCTGGATGGAAACTCATACGGCAGAGAAAGGGAATTTTTTAGCGTATTATGTACGTAATGTATACAGACGCCATTAAACACCAATAGTGGTCAATTCATAACTTAAGAGCGGGATATATATATATATATATATATATATATATATATATATATATATATATATATATGTGTGTGTGTGTGTGTGTGTGTGTGTGTGTGTAAATGTGCTACAAGGCGAGACGCCTTTCCTCACTTCACAACCTATAACTATCTTCTATCAATGTTTACAAATTCCCTTTCTCCATGACACACACTAGTAATAATTTCAATTTAAGTTTATTTTCATAAAACGTTTCGCACATCGAGGATTCACAGAGATCGGGTTTTTGCTAAGATTTCCACCAGAAAATACATCATCTACAAAAACATCTGTCGGTGTGTAATTCCCATTTCTCCGTTTAATCCTCGATTCGTTGAAGAAGGACACAGGTGTGTCCGATAACTCCGAACATAAAACCTTTGATCTCCGTACTTCATTTCTATCATATGATTCTCAATTAATATTTAATAAAAGTTTATTGTACTGATTATATACCCTTTCGTTTGTCCTTGTTTTGGTAACTGACCTGTCTTTTTCACACACACACACACACACACACACACACACACACACACACACATATATATATATATGTGTGTGTGTGTGTGTGTGTGTTCTGAACAATAAAAATATTGAAAAATTAAACTTTTCAGACACAATAGGTTGCATATTAATAATTATTTCAATTAGGCTCCTCTATAAGTTTTGGTCAGACTGGAAGTGCTATCTGATGATCCGGAGTCCTTTAAAAGTGCTCTGGTGAAATAAATTATTATAATGGTACCTTCAAGTGGTCTGTTTTTTTTTTTTAATATATATATATATATATATATATATATATATATATATATATATATATATATATATTAATAATTCCGTTGAAAATTAAATGGCTGATTGATCACACTCACACACACACACATATATATTTGTACATATATATATATATATATATATATATATATATATATATATATATATATATATATATATATTGTTTGTGTGTGTGGATATAGTAGTTCGATGGAATAAATTGAGAAATAAAGAACATCAAAATATTATTGATGTTAAGACTAATAATATTTAGTTGCTATATTCACAAAATGGCTGCTTGACGTGAACGGTGTTAAAAATCGGAACTTTCGGAAACGGCTGTCGCCTTTGTGAACGAGACTACAATTAAAAAGTGAGGTGGGAATCTTTATTTGTTTTTTAGAGTATTTGTTAAAGGCCTTATGGGGAAACTATACTTATTATTCATACCCTCTCTAAACCTAGAATATATAAATTTATTTAAAAATTCTATTGGAATTAGGACTTTTAGCATTCTTTTTCGCATATAAATGAAACCGCTAACTACGCATCGAACTTTATCAATATTATGGCCCGGTTGGTTGAAATATGCAGGTATAGTGTCACTGAGGTTGGTGCATCTATCAAAGTATGAACGGCAAATAGAGTTTCTCGAAAATGCAACCTGAATAAATAAAAAATGACGTCGGTTTTAAATAAAAATGTCCACTATAATAACGTTTAAATTATATATATATATATATATATATATATATATATATATATATATAAGTATATAATTGGTATATACGGAATGCTTTCCAATAACCAACAATTACTATTCTTAAAAGAGTGCTCAATACAAAGTAGAGCAGATATAATTATTTTTATAAAAAAAAATTATAACATAAGTATGTTATAAAATCACTAAAAAATAGCCATTTTGTTTGAACACCCTCGGTGTCTTATCAAGTGACAAGTGATATCTTATAATTATTTTTTATAATTTATATATATATATATATATATATATATATATATATATATATATATATATATATATATATATTTGTGTAGGTGTAGCGTAAGATGTCTGGATAAGCATGTGGTTGTGTAATCGACGTAATTATTTATGAGTCCGGATCACAGTCAATACCAGCCAGTATACAGGCCTCTCGGCAGACACATACAATATAATGACCATGTTAAGATGTCATGAGTTTTTCCGTCCTGTCTGAATTTTTTTTTATTGTGAAACAACGCTAAAAAGCTTGCTAACCAAAGCTCAGAGAGGCTCCTTTCACCCTCATCAAGAGCAACTAGCCCGGGCCAGCTACTTTACTGATGTAATGGAATAACATGTCACCCCTATGAATGATTACACTATAGGTAGTAACGAACTACAGAGACCAGCTGGGATCTGTTATTCAGCTTTTGGCTGCTCTCGAACTTTCTGCCTTCCGGCAGAGAGGAACCCAGATGAGGCTATGTCGAAGAGCAGAGTCTCGTCCGGCGAGGTAGATAGACCCGATCCCGTTCTCATGGGGGAGATTGGTAAATATTACTAGTTGGGATCTCGTGAGTACGACACAGACTTACACGAGAGCTACTGACCTTCAAATTGTGCATAACTGTTACTTTTATTCTTATTGTACTGATTTTTTTACAATAAACCTTTACCTATTTTATCCACCTTGTTTTTCATTCCTATTTGCACAGAATATAACATTTATTTTGTTTTCACCTTTTACTGATCTTCCTGCTTCGACCTGTTTTTATATCAAGCATCTTTTTCTTTGCCCTTTCTCTTTTTCTTTATCCTTTCCCTCTCTTTCTTATTTGTGTGTTTTTTTTTTACCTCTTCCTTCTATCTATCGTCATTTTCTTTTTCCATCTCCTCCATTCCTTCCCTTTCTTGCTGATGTTGTTCTTTTTCTTTTTCTAAACAATAGATGGGCTGAGAATTGCGTATAAGCATGAAACAGACTGTCGCCGTTAAATGTTGACTTCAATATCCAGTTCATATATATATATATATATATATATGGTATAATACTTTTCAAGTAACGAAGTATTAGTCAAGTTCACACAAGACACACATGGTCTATTTAATAGCTATTCAAGAAATCATTTTAATGTCCATTTTTTTTACTTGTAACATATAATGGCAACGAAGTTATATGCACAGGTCAACCCAACGCCTCTTGCCGAAAATAAAACTAGTTTTTGAAAAGTTCGACTTGTACACCAGTCTATACACCATTTATTCACCAAGACATACTTTTACTCGGTATTCTATCATTTACAGAAATAAATATAGTTATTGCGAGGAAAAAGTCAAAAATAAAAATCGAAGATATAAAAAAGAAAATGTTAGGGAAATATGAATAAAACAGACGACTGTTAACACATTGCTTTCCCCGACATTTGCTTGACTTACATTTCTTAATTACACAAAAAGCTTGCAATTTTTTTTTATTTCCTTCTTTTATTCACATTTTTTTATCTCGTAAATTATACTATTTATTTTTGTCGGGTTCGTTTCAACCGTTACGTTACGATTCCCTTCGTTTCGTCTCATTCCCGTTTTTCGATATATATTTTTTTCCCCTCTGATTCGTTCTTGCATTAACGTCTCTTTATTTTCAATTTTTACTGTTTCTCCTTTCTGAGTCTGATTTTCGCAATTCAGATTCGTTTTTCTTTTCATTTCATTTTTTTTTTTTTTTTTGGTCTTTGAACGTTCGTCTGCGCCTTCCCATTTTATTATTTATCTTTTTACAATTGAATACTTCATTATTTTAGCACATTTCCTTTTTCCTTCATTACTTTCTTTTTGCGCCATTTTTTTTTTTGCATCTCATCTTATTTTTTTCTTCTGTGTCGATTTTTTTTTCTTAATCTTTTCGGTTCTTCCTTGCCTTCCTTTTCTTATTCAGTTTCCGCCATTGTGCTTCGTCCTCTTTCTATACATTACTTCATACTTTTTCTTATTATTTTCCTTTGTTCTTTTCTTCAACTACATTTTCTTATTTTTCTCTCTGTCTTTGTCCTCTTGACCATCTTTATCACCACAGATTGTTTTATTTGCGTTTTCTTTGGGTTTTTTTCTTCCTCCCTCTCTCTATCGATTTTGTTATCATCTTTTTTCCGTCTTTCCCCACCACTGTCCCCATCGTCGATTTATATTTCTTCGTAACTTTTTCCCTCTTTCGTGTTCTTCTTCTTTCTTTCTTTCTTTCTTTCTTTCTTTCTTTCTTTCTTTCTTTCTTCTTCTTCTTCTTCCTTTTCTTCTTCTTCTTTCTTACTTCTTCTTCTTCTTCTTCTTCTTCTTCTTCTTCTTCTTCTTCTTCTTCTTCTTATTATTATTATTATTATTATTATCTGCCTTATCCATTTCGCTCTCGATTTTCCCCCCTCTGATTCCTTTGATCAATTTGTATTCTTCCTCTTCTCCGAATTGTCTTAGTCTTTCGCACTTTACATTTACTACACCACTCTTTATCCTTTCATATTCAATTTCTCTTTTCAAATGTCCTCTGCGCATGCATGTTCGGACTATTCTGATTGCAACCACATGATTTAACTTTAAAACTCTCTATAACATCTTTTTTTCTTTCTCAAACATTTGTTTTGTTTTTCCAACTTCCTGATGATTGCTATTTGCTTTCTTCGCTATTTTATCTAGTTAAAGAAGTTTTCTTTTTTCCTTTATTTAATCATTACACCATATGCAAGGCAATAAAACCCTTAAGAGGCAATGGGTGACTGAGTTTTTAGATTGGTTTGGTTTATTTTGTTTTACAGCATATCAACCTCAATGGGTTATTTAATGCCGACAATATTCTTATTGCTGGTTTAGTTTGGTTTGGTTTGTTTTACGCCATATCAACCTCAGTGTGTTATTTAATGCCCGACAAGATTTTTATTGCTGGTAATATTTTTTTCAAAAAAAGTATTGCTGGTAATATTTTTAAAAAATATATTGCTGGTAATATTTTTTTTTTTGCTTCAAAAATGTATTGCTGCCAATAATTTCTCCAAAAATGTATTATTTGTAATATTTATTTTCTTCAAAATTGTATTGCTGGTAATAATTTCTCCTCACAAAAAGATTATTGCTGCTAATAAAACCTATTTTTACACAGTCATAGTGTTTTGACCCCAGTTTGGGGGTTAACAAGTTGCCTATAGTTGAGACCCTAACAAGTTCTACCACCCAACTGAATGTTAGAGAGTGTGAATAAAAGAGAAGAAAATACTATTAAGAGGCAATAATAACAAAAGAGTAATATTTAAGAAGACATAAGATAGCGATTGACATTACATTTAAATCTTAGTGATCAAAGTTGATTAGGATGCAAGAAGCCGAAAGAGATTTCCTCTAGCGAGAAGAGCGAGAGAAGAAACTGTTAGCATAGAACTTACGGTTATATCTAGCCATTTGAACTGTAAAATTATGCGATATTGACACAAATCTAAAATTCGTAATGTCTAGTTGCCACGACGGAATATTCGTCAGAACAATTAACATGAAAGTGTTTATTGAAAAAGCACAGAAAAGCTACATTACACCGGTGGGAAAGTGGTTGAAACTGAGATGCCATGTCAGGACTAATAGCATTGCTGATTCTTCTTTGGAATTTATCAAGGAGCTCTGGATATTTAATAGAAGCAACGGGTCATATGTGACAGCAATATTCAAAGCATGGACGAATTATGGACTTGTAATTGTATAAGATAGTTTTTGAGAGAGAAAAATTGTCTCGCAAGACATATTGCACCAACTTTCTAAGCAGCAAAGCTAGCAATTGATTCAGTATACTCTTTCCACTTCATGCCAACGGAAAATGTTAGCCGGAGAAGGCGCAACACGTCGTTCTCCGGGAGGTTAGTATCAGCCATACTGATGTCAGGCAAAAAGGGTTATCATATATGATTGATAGAGAGCAGTTTCGTTTTGGAATCGTCAAAATTAACGAGTCACCCCACCCCCAGTTAATAGCAGATTGTGCAGTTCATCTTTGAGATCACAAAATGTCTAGCTACCAATCAGATAAAAATTTCTATGGTCGAAAATTCTTAATGGTTCCACAATCTACTACTCTCTACAAATAGTTTGTTAACACCATATCTCTGCTTAAAATTTAACACGTTAGTATTAATTATTATTTACACTGCTTATATTCGGACTATTGTCTTCATCTTTGTTGTTTTTATCACAACGTTTCGACCATTATGCTCTCCGCCCTTCGGCAGTTTTATATCAATCTGAGTAACCTATTTGGAATTCCGAACGAAACCCTTTATTTAATCTATAAGGTTAGAGTATTTTCGTTTCATTGCTCTTGTCCAGGGATATAGTAACGTCCTTATTTTATTTAGCACTATTCAATAATGTCTCGCCCGTTTCTACTGACTACATGTACGCACTGCCCCACCCAAGGACTGAAGTCGCAACTATTTGGCCGCTAAATTCACAAACCGATGCTTTTACCCATTTTTATCTACTGGGCCATATTTTACCGTACGACAATTTTTTGGAGTAAAAGTGGAGCTTTCAACTTAATCTTTAAAGCTGATTAGGCTGCCACTGCTGCTGCTGGCTACCATGTTATATGCATCGATATACACGTGAGGAAGGCTGGAGGACACAACGGCTGAAACGTTGTGATAAAAACAACAAAGATGAGAAAACCTGTCCGAATACCGAGTAAATATTGATAACTCCTCATTCCAGAAAATCGGACAAATAATTAGCCTGAACTGTCTATTTTCTACATCGTCTATGAATTATCTAAGACTGTTTTCTTTGCATTTTTTACCACATCCACTCTCTTTTTTCATCCGTACTTTGCTACCCCGTCTTTATCCTTTTGTATTTTATGTTAATTCTTTGGTTTTGGAGTCTTCTTCCTGGTTCCAATTTTACCGATATTTTTCTCCATATACTTTGTCAATACCATGCCTATCTTTTAAAGCTGTATATATGAGCATCAGTTTTATGGTTATCAGTGTCAAAGATCTCAATTAATTACCCCACGTCAAACAAGTTCCAATATATCTTATTATCGACACAATATTTCCTTGTAGGAACTGTTTTTTTTCCACTTTTTCTTTCTATTCTATTAACATGTGTTGTCTACATCGTCTCTATAATGTAAAAAAAAACAATATTATTAGTTTTCTATTTCCGAATGTAAAACTTCTTAATTATTTTTTTCACTTCAAAAAGTGTTCAGAATATCTGATGATGGATACAATGTTTGCTTATCGAAACTGTCGGTTCTTTTCACTTCGAATATTTTGTCGATATCATCTTTATATTGTAAAAGAACTTCATACGTTAACATTCATTTCCTGCTTCTCAAAGACAGCAATCCTAGTTTATTTGTCAAGTCCAAGAACGGACCAGTGTATCTTTCTATAGATACACTTTTTGCTTGTCGAAGCTGAGTAATGCTTATTCTTCCTCCTTTTCTGTCCAACTATTTTCTCGGCGATAACTCTATGTTGCGTGACATTATAGCTGAGCGTTAATGTTCTGGTTTTCAGATCCAGCAATCTTAATTAATTTGTCCTGCTCAAGAAGTATCCAAAATACATTGTTATAGACACGATTCAGGACTTTTTTGTAACTATTTTTTGATCTTGAGTCTGTTTTTTTCTCATTTATTTTTTTCTGTCATTGAGTTTAATCATTTATTTCGTTTTATTCTAACATTTAAATTTAGTGCTCATTGGCTCGCTGCTGATCTTTGAGAATGAGGAAGAACACATTTCCTTAATACTCCTCAGGCTTCATACTGTATTTCAGTGGGTTTTTTTCCAGATGGCCCTCTTTTCTAATGCAGCATCTAGTAATGATGGGCCCGCTATTCAGCCCCGCATAACACAATATAGTTCAGATGTTTCCTGATGTTGTGCTATTGTGTCGGTTTTAAACTTACTTTAAAAATGTCTGTGTATTCGACTGAATGTGACATAGTTTGCTTAGACCGAGGTGGCATACAGCTTTGGTCGATCCGTTTACATTATTATTATTATTATTATTATTATTATTATTATTATTATTTTCTTTGATTTCTGGCGTTTACACATTTCTTTCCGTGTCCCGCCCAGGGACCTAAGGTTAGAAATGGCGTCATGACTTTCCACAAAAAAAAAAAAAAAAAATTAAATTACATAGATAAAGCCCTTCGTAAGGTGTGGGCTGTAATTGTCAGAACAATTTTTTGTATCTCCTTGAGGCATGGACTTCCAGGAATCCCTTCAATTAGTCTACTGCAATCTTTTCCAACCAGTCCTAGGGCTCCAACTACAACAGGGATTGTTGATGTTCCCATATGCCACATTTTGAGAGATTTCTATTTCAAGGTCCTTGTACTTTGACAACTTTTTGAATATCTTCAAAGATACATTGCAGTCAGCAGGGACTGCCATATCAATAAGGAGGCACAGCTTTTGTTTGTGATCTTTAATAACAATATCTGGGCGGTTGGCCTTGATTGTTCTGTCAGTGTGTAGTGTGTAGTCCCATAGAATTGTAACAGGTCCTATCTCCGTAACCGGGTCTGGGTGGTGTTCATACCAGTTTCTTTCAGTTTCCTTCCCGTAGAAGTTGCAGATTTTCCAGTGCAGATATTGGCCCACTCTGGCATGTCGGGTTTTATATTCAGTGGGTGCCAACACCGTGCAACCTATTATTATTATTATTATTATTATTATTATTATTATTATTATTTCATTATGACTGCTACAGCTATTACTGCAACCAATAATACTTTTACTGTATATCTTTTTCTCATTCATATTTCATTCCAATTCAAGAATATATTTCTTTCTTTCCCGCTTATTCATTATATTCTTCTTCTTCTTCTTCTTCTTCTTCTTCTTCTTCTTCTAATTCTTATATCACTACTAGTAGTATTAATACTACTGTTGCTGCTACTACTACTACTGCCGCCACTTCTGCATACAACCTCTATTATTTTTATTGAATATCTATTTATCTCATCTCCACTTCAGTTCAATTAAACAATGTTTTACGCATTCTTTCTCTCCCTTTTCTTCATCAGATTCGTCTTCTTCTTCTTCTTCTTCTTCTTCTTCTTCTTCTTCTTTGTCTTCACATCCTTTCTGTTGACGTATTCAAAAAAATTCTCTGCATTCTACACCACATTTCATTCTTCATAGACACATATTCATTTATTCCATAACAAATTTACTTGTCATTTTTTCTTTCTTATTTTCACCGAAACTGTTCCTCATTCTGCAAAAGAAACTTTCATATCCACCATTGGTGCTTACCATCTTCCAGTTACTTGTTTTTTGACATTTTTCCTACATAATCTCTCATTCCTTTTAACATCATCATTTTCATTATCATTATTATTATTATTATTAGTAGTAGTAGTAGTAAT